ACTGTCAATATCTGTCGGATGCCAACCGCATGGCTGCTCCGGCGGTGCCTGCTCAGACAGCCTTCACGGACCGCCGGCCGATGGGAAGAATTAGTAAGCTCTGAACCAGCCAAAAGGTGCAGAACGTACTAATCAGCTACTGGATAACAGGGAAAGTGTGCCCCCTTCCTGCAAAAAAAAAAATGTAAGCAGGTGAGAGGGTGTTTTCTTTTAGTGTGCATTTCTATGTGGGTCTGTATAATTGTGCATTAGTGTGTGTGCATATTTGTGTGTGTGTGTGTGTGCGCATGCATTATTGTGTATTTGTTGGGGGGTGTATTTCTCTGTGTGCGCGCGTGTGTATTTCTCTGAGACAAAAGGAAAAAGCAAGGCAGTTGACAAGTTTCTTCTAAGGGATAACTAGCAAGGAAGTTAGCTGTTTGTTGGAAAATATACCACCACATCTTATGTCACCCTGGCTTTAGATCCTTGGTTCTCAACTGGTGGGCCGTGCCTCAAAAGTGGGTAGCGACCCCGTGTTGAGTGGGTCACCACATGCCTTCCACTTGTCTAGGCAAGAGGGTCCTTTGCCTCCCCCTAGCGCAGCACTGTCAGTTTTTGCGCCAAGCAGCCATTCAAAATATGCTGCCCAGTCCCGAGTGTCAGATTGAGGTGGGATCACAGCACAGTGCCCCACATTGCCCCCCGGGCTGAGGATCCACTCCAGTTCCCGTAAGGTAGGGAGACTGGGTGCACCTGAACAAAAATAAAAATGTTCGGAGTGTGTGCGAGATTGTGTCTGTGGTTGTGTATGTATGTCAGTGTTTTTGAGGGCACCTACCATGCCTTCTGGTGTGGCGCGTTGCCATTCATTTGAATGACACCCCGAATGCACCTCGCACCCACAGTTCATACGCCCACACCGGAAGACGCGATACCCCAATGCCGTGCGACTTGGGTCGCAACTTAATGACCAAGGACAAATGTGGGTCCTGAGGTTACACAGGTTGAGAACCACTGCTTTAGATTACACCTTTTTGCACCACGGCTGAAAAAGCAGACAGGCCCAAGTAGCATATTACCTTTAGATACAGAAAAGAGTGGAAAATATTGAAAGTAACTGTAAATATTTAGCCACACATGACAGTACAACCTCTTATCCATTACATCATTTTACCATGTTGACTTTAGCGCTGTAAAAATTCATGACAGATGAATACTCTCTAATGTATCTTACTTAATGTACTTACTTTGCTGTATCTGCGCCACTGGTTATTAAAGTGTTAATGAGGAGCTCATGGCCATATCGAGCTGCTATGTGCAATGGTGTGTTTCCATTCTTATCTTCACAGTCTATCTCTGCTCCTGTGATTGGAAAAATAAGGCCAATCAACTGATTTGTAAGTATAAAGTATTAATAAAATGCCTGTCTTTGCACGATTGCCACAAAACAGTGCTGAATAAAACTTAGAAAATCGCTAACCACTATTTGCAGCTAAACTGACCACATAAACCCTATGTAATGTCAGGAAAACAACACTTTCTGCAAAAATACATGAGCAATCACATGCAGAAGTAATAAAAGGGCACTACTCCTCAACTGTTAACAGAAATCAAACCAATAAAGCAAAAAGAAAAGAGAAACTAATGGTTTAGAGTCGATTATGCTTTTTGATTTCACAAACATAATGCAAAGTGCACCATTACACTGCCATCCGAATGATTTGCCTTTGTATATAAACTTGAGCTCTAAACAAAAAGCAGGTTTCAGTACAGCAGCTAAAAATAGCCCGTAAAAGCTGCCTATAGCAATAATGTTTACTTACCAGATAAGAAAAAAATGTAAAATACCTTTTGTTTTATCCACAGCAATATTAAACAAAAAAATGTTTATTAAAATACACATTCCAATAAAAAAAAAAAATTTACCCAGAAAATTGCATTTTACTGCAACATTCAGACTGTTCTTTTATGTAAATCAAACGGGAGTAGATTTAACATGATTCAGCAGTCATATTCAAGAAGCGACTTGCCAGATGGGAGATTGGTAAACAAGATTAGCACGTTTTTTGGAGATTATCTTTATAGTGCAGTAGTAAGGATTGTTTATTCCACTTAAAAATAAGGAAACGCCCTCACACATTTATCGTGAAAGGTTTGATCTTTCAAAGAATTTCTATACTCATTTGCAGATTACACAGGGAAAGGCAATGCTGAATTATTTATGTCAAGCCACAGCTGGGTGTTAATAATAAAAACAAAAAGGGCGAAGCCATCAACAGAAAAACTAAATTGTTAGTTACAAAATAAAGCTCCAGAATCAGAGGTCTTTCAGCTTTACAAAGATAAATTAAGTTTAAAAAGAGTCGACAAATATACAGTGTTTGTGGTGCATTCCATATTTACATATTTAGCAAAAAATGTAAACACTTGTAAAATGTAAAAGTACCTTTACGATAAACAAAAATGTGTCTTATTTGTGTGTCACTCGGCTGTAGATCCTCAAATCATCTCTGAATTCATGCTGACACTATCCTTCCTTCTGGAGGGTGGCTACTTTTGTTCCCCATGGTCCATGTGTGTGTTGTAAAGTAGCCACCGCTCCAAGCTCACTCCCCTGATTGACTACAATCTCCTATTTCGTTTATTTTGTATTGAGATTGCAGTCCATTGCAGGAGCGAGCTTGGAGCGGTATCTACTTTATAACACACACAGAGACCATGGGGAACAAAAGTAGCCCCCCTCCAGAAGTAAGGACAGTGTCAGCACAAATTCAGAGATGATTTAAGGATTTACAGCCAAGTGATGCACACATAGTGTACATTTTTGTTAATAGTTAAGGTACTTGAATAAATATTTAAGATTCAACTGAGTTTAAGTTTAGTGTTACCTTAAGCATCTCCATAAAGATTCTAGCTCAATACTAATCAACAGAACCCCAAAACTCATTAAAACAAGAATGGCTCAAGGTTGATTGAGCGAATTACCATTCTGGATTATTATTTGCGACCTGGAAAAGCGACCATGGATGGCAGTCATATGAAGAGGAGTCTTCCCATCTTTACTCTGCAAAACATGGAATTCTGGTGAGCTTATACTCCATACTGTCACAGGCTTTAACACATTCTAAGACATCCATAAAATACAGCAGCAACATTCTCTGCATTTCAGTATATTACTCAAAACCATCTGATCATATACAAAAGAATTATGGAAAACAGACAACTTACACAATATCAGTTTATGTAGTCTGGGAATTTACCCTGCATAGTCACAAATTCTGATCAACTGGCACTGCACATAGAATCAATAGACTGCTTAAAGTAGAACTAAAGCCAAAACCCTTTCTTATTCCCTTTCGGATAGTGTAAGGAAGGGTTAGAACTAGTCAGTAAAATAAAAAAAATAAAAAACCCCCAAAAAATAAATAATCGGTGTCGCACTGGGAAGATCTCCCTTCTTTTTCTGTTCCATAGCTAGAACAGGTGTGATCCTCCAGGAGGATCACACTTGATGGATACACGGCAGACTGGAATAAAACAGACTCTCCTGCAACAATTGACAAATGGTTAACTTCCTGAACAAGGGAGAGGGCAAAACTGCTATACCCCTTTAACTGAAGAATGATACTGCCTGCAGGCAAAGAGCAGTTTCCAGTGCCCAATCCTAAGGAACCAAGAACAAGCTGAATCTTGGAGGCATGAGGCCCCCAGTGACTAATCGCTCCACAATGGGGACACCATGAGAATACACTATAGCAGACACATCAGCCAACCCCTTGAACACTTGGTGTGCAGGAGTGATACTAATAAGCCAGAGCCCTGGTGGGACAGTGTTCAGGGAGTACTGGTGCAAGCTTACCTTTAAGGTCTATGGGTCCCACTGAGGAGAGACAGGGGTGGTGGAGACCACAAGGGAGCAGAGGAAGGTCTGCTAATCAGTGCAGTGGCACAGGAAGGTAGAGGGTGAGCAGTTGGATTGTGTCAGGGGCTAGAATTTGTAAACCTTAAGGAGCTTACTCTACACCTGAATGCCTGAAGGACAAAACTACTCAGGAGTTTGCAAGGGTTAAAAAGCACCCCCCATATGGAAAAGTGGGGGAGCACAGTCATGCTAAAGGCTTCTCTAAGGTTTAGCAGGTTTTTGCTTATAACTGTGTGGCTGGTTGGAGAACCAGGCTTTGAAGGCTCAGTTGTGGCTACTTCATGAGTTGGGAAAGGATAGGAGTGAGTCAACCTTTCCTTAAGGCTTCTTACGCTAGAAAAGTTGGACACTCTGACCTCCAGAAGAGACAAAAATCCTTCTTAAACCAAACATGTCAGGCACCCCATGAATACAGCGTCTGCCTACCAGTATCTTAACTAAAGTGATCTGCCCATTTGTATGGAAGACAGAGTCATACAAGACAAGCCTAGATGCTCGAGTCAGGACATCATAAAGCAGAGGGCATTTCTTTCACATGCTCAATCAGGTAAGGGCCCACTGCTGCAGTGGAGAGATGCCTTTTAAGGCATTTAACCCATTACACCAGTTTACCCTATTCTAACTGTGACCTTATTTGTCAAAATGGCAGGGACCCCCAGCAAAAACTGGGATTTAAAGTGGGGTGCCAGCTGCTGCGGAGTAGAACTCCTTTTCTTAGCGGGGAATACTAAGAGGATTGAGTGCAATGGGAAGGTCTTTGCAACTATTGGAGCTCTGAAAGAACTAAGACTACAGACTGCGGCTGATCCCCCAGATAGTACCTACTGCATCAATAAGGGCCACACCTGCCTCTTGCAATTTGAAAGTAAATGGTAGAAAACAAATTCCTCACAAAAAATGATAGAGACTGCGGGGAACCTGAATCGGAGTCAGAGATGGCGAGTACGATTGCTGGCCAAGCCCCTTCTAATAGACTCTGAAGAAGAAGGTGGGAGTGCACTTAGAACTTCAGTGGCCAGAACCAGCCAGGAGTTGGTTGAATTAAGCCACAAAGTCTTGTGTGACTGCAGTAGATTTTCCTGACGATAAGGCTCTGGCTCACTTGCGGAGCCAAGAAGGACTCAGATGAGGTAGAGCCTAAAACCATAGGGAAACAAGATTCCTGATTTTAAACACCAGAGGGTGCAAAGAAAATGTGCCTGGAACAGTTAGGGGTGTGTGAGCCGTGTCTAGAAACATATGTTGCGGCTATGTGGTGGTAATACTACCAAGCACAGGGTAGAAGGCAAGGGTTCAGATAAGCACAAAACCCAAAAAGCTGGCAGTTGAGGTTAAGGTGGCTGGAGGTAACCAACGTCACTGTTAAAGGTCAATAGCACATGCGCAAGATCACAGTTCCACATGGTTCTTGGCAAAGCAGGAGCAACAGTGGAGTGCTGTTTCCCCGACACTGAATGGAGAGAACGGGTGCAGAACTTGTGCAACACTCCCAGTGGAAAGTGAGAAATTCAAAGTCGCCCACAGGTGCAAATAAAATGGTATTTTACGGTGCTTAATCTCATCAGCCTACTTACAGAGCGAGTCTTTAGAGAAAGGGCAAGCACAGGGGCTATGCCAATGGCTCCAGAGCTAGAATGCACTCTGTGGCTAACTTACTAGAACATGGTCTGCAAAGTAGCCAACACGAAACCTAGTGCCTGGGGGTTACTTCCAGGCTAGCCCTACACTGGACGAGGAAAGACCATAGTGATAGCAGCCATTGTAGAGAACAGCTCAGGCAGCGAGGAATCTAAAAATAAGAAACAAATGGAGAGAAAGCAAAAACAGCTAGTAAAAAATTGTTAGATGTTTTTCGAGCTGAGCTGAAGACATCTGTTCCCCTAGGACACTGGCATGTCAAGAATAGAAGGGGGTTATCCTGGGCTGGCCTAAAGATTTTTGTTTCCAGTGTCCAATCCTCCTGTAGGCAACAGTATAATCCAATGGTATGTAACGTCCTGTGTCCTTCAATGTAGGAGAGAAAAAAAAAAAACTGACATCATACAGTAGATTTTTATGGAAATATCTCTATATAAACCTACTGAAATTAACTGCTAAGCCACAAACTACAGAATGCTTAAGCACAGAAAACTGAAATAGGGAACTACTCCTTGGATGCACAGCAGTCTTTTTCAGGTTGAGCAAAATGAAAAATTCTTAAGTATTTTCAGTATATCAAGGAAGCCTGTTCAACCATAATAAATGTGCTGTATGTTTTACACACTTCCCAAATACATTTTCAAGTCAGTCATCCATGAAGGACGTCAAGAAAGTAGGTCAGCTTTGACTTAATCTCTGTTACTTTTAAAATGCACTTAGGATTGAACCCTACAAGAAACTACATCTGCGACTTGATGTAGTACACTTAGAACTGGATCACTCAAAGTATTTGGCACAGACATAATTGAAGTCTACTAGAAAAAAAAAACATATGGTAGTAGATCCATTATGGTATATCAGCTGCAAACACAATTTGCAGGCAATAACAATAGAAAGTCAGCAACAAAGGAGAAGGTAAATATCTTTTGACGTTACAGGTCCATAAGTCTTTACTTATAACTACAAACAGTAGTGTGCAGTAACCTATAATACAAGTTATCTTTCCCTAGGATACTGTCGAAAGATAAAATGTGATTGACTGCTATAGCATAATTCAAATAAGTAGAAATTGTCCCCTGCCCAGTTAGCTAGCAAAAGAAACCTAAATAAAACCGGTTTTAACAAAAATGACTCAGTTCTCATGTCAGTGCAAATAAAAGGAAAACCTTACATCAAAGGAAGGGCACGTCTTTGCAGTGTGAACCCTACAATGACCCACACCTAACTGGCAGTGAAGCAAGCTTTGCTGGAGGCCCACTCCTCCGAGAAGGCTGAGCCATGTACAAAGACCAGACTCTCTAAAGGCAGCTGCAGACCTTATATGTGAATGCACCTTACACAGCAACAAGGAGGGTAATCTCTAGGGCAGGGTTCAAAATTTCCACTCGCCTGCTCGCATTTGGCGAGTGGAAATGCAGTGCAGGCGAGTGGAAATTCCTGTCAGGCTTGCGGTCGCAGATCGCGTACCTGACTCGTAACATGATTTAGGGAATGGGTATATGACCGAGGTGGGTGCGTCTATAGATTATATAAGAGATCACTGTGTGAAAGATGTCTCGATAGTGGCATGTCAGTCCTTTCATATAACTATACATGAGTACAAGCATGTAGTGTTGAAATACCAAAACATACCCACTCTACCACTACAACAAAACACCCTTAATTAAATCACACAGCACCAAATTAGCAAATTAAAAACTGTGAAAAAGTACAATATGAATAAAGTCTTCAGCAAATTTACAATTATTCCTGAATTGATCAAGATTTTGCTTTGTTACTACAAAAGACCGCTCTTTGCTAATTACTCATTGAGCTTTTTTTTTTAGCTCAATAACTTGTCAAAACAAATGCACAAATTTGTAGATAACACAGCAAGTCTCCCTGTACAGTGACGTAATCGGCCAGTTCTGAAAATCTGCTGAATCATACTGTTAGCCAGAAAACTCAGTTTTGCTATACTGATAAAAACTTTTAAACATGAAGAGGCATTGCAGGGGTAAGTCAGATTAATGCGTGATGATTTTGGAAACATGTCTATCCAAGGCAGCAAGCACTCTTCAGGAGAACATTGCTATCCACTGCTACAGAAAAAGCCGAACAAGGTCTTCACGTGCATCTCAAGGCAAAACTTTTTCTTTTAGCTTTAGGTTCTAGTATTAGCCAAGGAGGCAAGGAAAAAACTCTAATGAGGACATCTGTCTTGGGGAAAATGGTCTGAGAGGAAATCTCCCAAAGTGTGGGGAATTCCCTTCTATGTTCTTGTTGTGTCCCTGAGACAGGTGTTAAGATAAATAATCCAAATGATTAATAAAAGTTTAACACTTTAAGACTGACTACAGTTCTGTGTGACGATATCCAAGTTCTATTTCCTCAAAAACCATAAGCCCTCATTCATCTTTAGCATTTTGTAGAGCTTTTTCTCTATATGTTAAAAAAAACATGCCCAGGTAAAAAATTGTGGGCATCCGTGAAACTGCGACAAACCTCAGTACCCCAAAAAGTCCATAGGCTACATTTTTAAAGCCCCCACAGGTCATTAATTTAGAGATACCCCAATATACTGGCCCTAGTATTATTGCTCTCACTCCGGCGTGCGCGGCAATACCAAACATGTATAGCGCACTCGTAATTTTCATACGTAGGCGCATCACTTTACTTTGATTGTCATCACATAGGGGGGCTTGCAAGCCCCCCATGTGATAGCAGATGGTGGTGACAGGTACTCTTTAAGGTGATGCTGGGGGTCCAAAAGACCCCCAGTGTCACCTTTACACTCCAAATAAGATATTGAAGTGCAGATCGCACATCAATAGCTTATAGCTGGGCTTCAGGAGCCCAGCACTGACAGCTATGGGACCGGAAGTGATGCAATCTACATCGCTTCCGGTCCCATAGAACAGGGAGGGGATCGACAAACGGACGCTGACACCAGAGAAGCCAGTCCTGGGCCCGTAGGAGGGCAACGGAGACCAGGAAGCACGGCAGGGGTGTCGGGCGGGGAGGGAGACACACACCCCTTCACCGGGCTGTAGAAGCGATCTGGCGACAGCTGATTCGCCAGAATCGCTTCTATTGTAAAGCTATATTGTAAAGCGCTGTGCAAACTATTGGCGCTATATAAATCCTGTATAATAATAAAGCCGACAGTAGGCTTAACAAGTTTACACAGAGTCTGTTTAAACAGCCCTATGCTGGCAACGTACACTGTATGTCGTCTTCAGTCACGAAGGGGTTAAGCAATTTAGCAATTGTTCTGTACTAGAAGCAAACCAGCAAGTAGACAAGGTGTGGGTGTTTAGTAAGCACCAAGACTGATTCAGATAACTTGAGTGCAGATATATTGTTTTCTCAATATATCTGCACTCCTAATTCACTCCTACCTACTCCAAAAACCTTAATATATTACCCTAATAAAAGCAGCAAGTGTAGTGGTGCATAAATAAATCATGTGATTGGGGATTTTCACATAACTTGTGTTCCCCAGCACTGACTTAGCATAGCCAAACTTTAAGGGCCTGCCCACGCCAAAATCAGAAGGTATTTGTAATCCATCGGAGAGTCCGCTGACTTGCGATTGTACATTGCGATCTGTTTTTCAATGGAAACTAATGCAAGGGCACCAAATGGTGATAAATGGGTGTGAATGGAAATTGAAAATTAATGGGTGTGCATAGGGCTAATTCACACAGATTCGTTGCGCTGAAAAAAACAATAGTGCAAGGTAACAACAGAATGAAGCGGTGTGAACATGCACACCCATTCATTTTTTGGGTTACCTTCTGCTGGCATCTGTTGAAGAACAGATCGCAACAGAGCTGGTGTAAATGGGGCCTAAAATTGATTGTGATGTTATTAAATATCCTTCAAGTTTTCACTCAAAACCATCCAGTACTTAGTTTCAAATAATTACTGAAATATGAACAGCATGTTTAAACGTGCAAATATTCCAAGAGTTCAAACTGTTTTCTAAAAATAGTGTTACCTCCAACTTACAATAAGCAGCATCCACCTCCAGAAAGCCATTTTCTCAACAAAAATCACTATTTCTCTTAACCCCCAGCATCAGTGCATCTCAACTACTCATATAAGACTCCTTTTTGTTTCAAGGGAACCTATGGCCATGACTATATAGTGGCACTCACTGATGCTGTGCCTGCACACTTGGCTGCTATTTTTCTAGAATGCCCTGTAACTGTATCCCCTCCCCACCCCCCTCAGATGTCAAGGTTAGGGCTGCAACAACTAAAATCGACATAATCGATTATAATGAATTATTGAAAAAGTTATCAACTTTTTCAATCATCGATTAATCGGCTTCTGGTTAGTTGGCCCTGCTCACGCGTCGCACCTCCTCCCCAGCTCACGATCACCGCTGCCAGACCCGCCCGCATCCATGCTCCACACGCCGCACCTCCTCCCCGCATCACGCTCAACGCCCTCCCACATCCACGATTGTAGCGCATTTTTTCTTATTTACTTCCACCGCTCCAAGCTTGCTCCTGTGATGGACTACAATCTCAATACAAACTAGTAGTCCCATCACTGAAGCCATTTTTTAAAAATGTATTTTATTTTTATCCGATTAATCGAACTTAAAAATAATCGTTAGCTGCAGCTCTAGTCAAGGTAACTCAATATGCAAAGAGTGATTCATTCCATTGTCTGCATCTTTGGCCCACTTCTCTTACCTACCAATGTAGGCTGTAACACACTCTCAGGTAAATTCAGCAATACACAATATAAAGGGAACCAGTCAGTAAAATACCAGAACATAAACGTTTTTTTTTCTTTAACCTTACCTTAATATTTACATCTGCACCATTACAGACCAAAAGCTCCAGACACAGGGCTCCATGTGTTGAAGCAGCAGCAAAGTGCAGAGGAGAAAAACCCCGTTCATTCACTTGGTTCACATTAGCACCACAATCTAGCAGTTCATTTACCACCACATCTTGACCATTGTAGCAGGCCACATGAAGAGGGGTGTTTCCATAAGCATTTGATTCATTCATCTGAAGGGGTAAAAACAGGAGAAAAATATTTAATACCTCAAAAAAAAAAAAACCAAAAAACTGAAAAAAAATCCAGCAATATTATCTTTTAAAAGAACATATTTGCCAAGAATTAAAGCATATCCATCAGAAACCATTTAAAATTCTACAATCAATACATTAGGGTTGAAATTAAAATGCAACATATACCTTGTGAAAACTAGATCCAAAGTGAAATGAGTGCCTATAGCAAACAGTCCTTATTTTGATGGGTTCTAGAGAAAGGGAAATACCCTCACAGAACGATCAATTCCTTACATGAGAAAAATCACCAGCAACTTTTTTTCTGTTTTTAGGAACCTTTCTATAATTTTACAAATCAGTTTAGTGTGTCAGCTTCAATGAGTTCCAAGTCTAGACTAGTGTTTAGCCCATGATTAAGGCCCCATTTACACCTGCGCGTTCTGTGAACGGTCACCAAGGCATGTATTTTAGTGTGCGTTCGATGAAACATGCAATATGCTTGCATTGCCATTCATTTCTAATTTGAACAAAAAATGCATGAAAGCGCACAACTGTAATATGGTCAGGTTTCTCACTTGTTAACTATATGGAAAATGGTGTGCAAAAGCTCTTCAACAACCGGGAGAGGAGCCCCGTGTAACGTGTTTGGCAAAATTATACATAGAAGAGCGCAACCACCTAAAAAATTGTTTAGATGCTAAGCATCCTGTAATGACTAACTGTTTAATTAAATTGGTTGATAAATAACTCACGGTTGTGATGTCATGGATGGACATGCACTCCCTGCAGTCCCGTGCAGTCAGCGAAGTATTTCTGAATGGAAAGATCTGGACGGTCAGGATCTAAATGGTTTAAGATCTAAATAAACCCCAAGTCTCTCCAGGCTGCGTCCTCGGCTGGCCGGGCCGAGCCGCGGCTATTAGAGCAGGAGGGGGAGGACTGTCAGGCTGCTGTGATCGGCACTGGGCGGTGTGTAGCCGTATGGTGTGCGGCGTAAACGCTGGAGCGTGTTCGTCTGTGCTGTGCTCGTACATCTAAAACGGCGTGGCAACATCCCGACCAAAAGTCATGTTGCACACACATTGAGAAATGCTTCGTTATAACAGGAATACTGCCATAAATCAAGGTGGAAGTCACCTGCTGTCCTCTGATCACTACCCCCAACACTTTTGAATGGAAGTAGAGGGTCACCCCTGAACAATTGTGGAGCTATATGCAGTCTCCCCCTCACATCTACTCCGTTGGACGATAAAAATAAAAATGAATTTTTAGTCCAAAAATGTTTTTATTTTATTTTTATTTTATTAATTATTCACTTAATTTTTTTTCATTAATTTTTAATAATTTTTATTCATCTTTTATTGTTATGTAATTCATTTTTACTCATTTTTAAATAAACGTGATATTTTAATCCTCTTCAAAATTAGGCTCTGTCATTTATGACATGATGAAAGCTCTCTATTAGTCAGTATAGTACACATTCTAGTATTAGTCTTAATGTCAACACTTATTAATAATAACCTGTGATAATAGTCAATGCAGAACTAGAAGAGTACACAGGTAACTGAGATAGAAAGGTCTCTGACCAATCAACCCCGAAGTGCCCTCGAGACTGTTGATTCACTTCCTGACGCCTAACCCTATCACGGCATTCTTTCGGATCTGACTCCTCCCCCCTGTCAGTTTCAAAAGTACTCATTCTCCCGCGGCTGACACCGCTCCAAGGCTTGACAAAGAGGGTCACCCTCGAAACGCGTAGCCGCTAATTGCCAACTGATCTCACTTGAACACATCACCCCGGACTCACGAGCACAGACGAACACGCTCCAGCGTTTACGCCGCACACCATACGGCTACACACCGCCCAGTGCCGATCACAGCAGCCTGACAGTCCTCCCCCTCCTGCTCTAATAGCCGCGGCTCGGCCCGGCCAGCCGAGGACGCAGCCTGGAGAGACTTGGGGTTTATTTAGATCTTAGACCATTTAGATCCTGACCGTCCAGATCTTTCCATCCAGAAATACTTCGCTGACTGCACGGGACTGCAGGGAGTGCATGTCCATCCATGACATCACAACCGTGAGTTATTTATCAACCAATTTAATTAAACAGTTAGTCATTACAGGATGCTTAGCATCTAAACAATTTTTTAGGTGGTTGCGCTCTTCTATGTATAATTTTGCCATTCATTTCTAATGGCACCCCATATGAGGCCAGCAAGATGGACTTTTTTGCTCCGTTTGTGCTCGTTATCACACGCGCAAAGCAAAAACCTTGAACACGTGTCACGCAAAATACTGAGCTTTTTTGCCGCATTTGTATATGAACCCATTGAAATCAATGGGGACATGTGGCAAACAAACACACGAAAACTCACGAACGTGACGCGGGTTCCCGCCACGCGCAGATGTGAATGGAGCCTAAAACATATTAATATAAGAATATTTTCTTTTGGAGTGGGTATAGGATAAGAGCCCATGTCTTTTTTTTTAGTGTGCGAGATTTACCCTCTTTCTTTAATGCCCATTTCATGTGAAAATATTTTTTCCACACCTAACTGTGCATTCATACATTTTAAGATAAACAAAGCAATTCAAGTGACAGGAAATTCAGGAGTTAAACTTAAAAGATACATTCAAGTACCTTAGCTATTAACAAAAATATATCTTATTTGTGTATCACTCAGCTGTAGATCCTCAAATCATCTCTGAATTGGTGCTGACCCTGTTCTTCCACCCTCCAGAAGGAAGGACAGTGTCAGCACCAATTCAGAGATGATTTGATTAATTTCTGTTAACAGTTAAAGTACTTTAATCCCTTTTGGAGATTCAACACCCGAGTTTAGTGTCACTTTAAGTTAAACAAATCACCCATCTTAGTGAATTGAGCGTATTGTATTCTAACAAAAACGAGGAAAACTCTAAACACTATATTATTTCTAATCAAGTAACAAACAACAAATAAAAAGGTCCTGAGACTAGCGTTTAGGGTATAATAGGTGAATGACAGCAGTTTTATACTTTCCTAAACTGCTGGGAATCCCAATCAGTTGATCTTAATATGGTCTGGCCGAAGTCTAATCTGTAGAACTCAGATGTACTTTCAAAACACAGCTCCAAGGCTACTGAAAGCTTGGAGTAAGTTTGCTCTGCTTTGAGCGCCCCAGTAGTCTTGGAAACCCATTAAAAGCAATGGATTGCAGAGTGCAGTTACGACACCAAATGCTTTAACAGCCTTAGAGATGAGTTCTGACATAGGAGCAGTAACTGTGTCGGCAATGCTGGAGGCTGCATTTCCATTTTCTGTATGAAACCAGCCACAAATATTGTATCCACGCTTCTAATGCATAATATGTTTGCATGGCTTCTAACAATACACTTAATATATATTTCAGAAAAAATTTATTTTCTTCACTCCAATGAAAAGGTGTGGAAACACTTTCGCCTTCCACTTACATCAACTCCTAGATCCAAAAGATACTTGACCACGCTGATCATCCCACTTGAGGCCGCGGCATGGAGTGGTGTGTATGATTTCTTATCTTTGCACATTACTTCTGCCCCATGAGTCACAAGTAGCTTAACAACCTCAATATGACCTGACAAAAGAACAAAAAGGGTTCACTTAAGTTATCTTTGAAAAATGTATATTTAGAATCTATAACAAACGGCAAGCAGCATAAATAGAAAAGAAAATCATACCCATGTACGCTGCCCAATGCATCGCTCGCCTGTCTTTCTTGTCAAATGCATTGATGTTGGCACCTCGTGATAAAAGTAAACTGACCATCTGAAATATAAATTAAGTCTTGAATAAGTTAAAACAAAACAAACCTCCTGGAGATTAGAGATGTGGAGTATGATAACATGAACTCAGAATGTCAGAAGTATTTAAGTTTTATTCAAAGCCAAATCTTTCTTCTAGCTTTGGACATTGCGGTGAAAATTGGAACCCGGTTTTTATTACTACCGGTGTCTCTGATAGGTAGATTCAATCTATTTGTCCTGGTGACCACTGTCACCAGTAGTGGAAGTGATGGAAAAACCAAAATTGTGAATCGTCACCAAAACAGGAACAGAGGTGAAACCTTCCCATGAGGACACATGTTCACAACTGTCTAAGACCTGTACATTAACCCCGTTCGCCTCCTCCTCCTCCTCCGTGTATGACCTGTACCTGTACATTTATTGTATGCACCATTACAAAGCTCCATGTTTTAACCCCCCTCAATATTGGCATGTTTCTCCATTTCCCAAGAATTGCGACAAAAAAAAATAAGATCACCTTGAAGAGTTTACTTTCCAAACAGGGGTCATTTTGGGGGTTTTCGTGATGTCCTGGCATTTTTATTTGATATATGTTTAACAGGGTTATTTAAATGTTTGGGGGCCTGGTAATAAAGGCAGTACTGAAGTGGTTAATGAGAAAAGACAATGCTGTTTTTACTGTGTAAACATATGTGCTCAGAATTCATCTGTCAGCTGAAATGGAGGAGGATCTAGGTGGGTGCTGACACCACAAGTCATTTGAGAACGGGTAGAAGTCACATAGCGCAATAGACATTACCGGTCTATGCGCACACTAACAGGATCAAAACTATGGACCTTTATATTTATACATTTTTAAAAATCATTTAAAAAAGGAGAACTATGAGGCGAGTGCTTTTCACTCACCTCATAGTTCTAGCCGACCTGTGACAATGAGACTGTCACAGGTCGACTCAGTAGATCGGGAGGTGAGCGAACACATACCGTCGTTCGCTCACCTCTCGATCCTGTCACGGCTCTCTGCCGTGACAGGGGGAGGGGCTGGATTCCCCTCTCCGATCTGCCAGCGCTGACTGGCGGAACGGACGCAGATAGGCAGAGCCAGCTGTCACTCACGCAGCTGGGCGGATCCCGTCTTCTAAGTCGGGATCAGCTCTGGCTGCGGCGTCTCAGTATACCGCGGGCTGTAGCTTGCGGTATACTGAGCTTAGGGTAGCGGGAGGACGCTAGTTTGTGTCCTCCCGTTACCCTAAGGAGAACTATGGGGAAAAACACTGACCCCATAGTTCTTTAAAAACTTTTGCATGTCAAGCTGATCTATTTCTCTCTGCAGACCAAAGAAAACAAGGTTACTGTAACAAAGTTAAAAAAAAACCCTCAATGATGGATAAATCACAGAATCAGAAAAACACATATGAGGCTGCTATCTGCATCCCGAGCCCAGAGCAGACCAATGTCACAGAACCAGCGATGCACTAAAATTTCACCCGAAAATGGTAATATGGGCAAAATACAGATGGTACCACAATGTCCTTGATTGTGGATATAGTACGAGTTGCTATCTCCACAGTTTATTAACGGACAGGAGCATTACGTATAGAGGCTTCCTGTTCATTCATAACAGGGGCTGCAGAAAAAAAGATTGAAGACTTTGTGTCATCAATCTCTTATCTTTTTAAAAAAGGAAATACCAGGGGTCTTTCCCTAACAGTAAAGTAAAAAATAAAACGTATGCAATGCATGCATGGAGTGGCTCCTAATCTCTTCTGCGGTAGCAGAGGCTGTACTGCTTCTGCCAATATTGCTGTCATTTTGATTGTAAACGGCTAATTACATAAAGACCAAATTCAGCAACATTATTAATGTGGTATGAATTAAGAGGCTGCAGTATGAGGTACTGGGAGTTCTCTAAAGTGTAAAATTATGCCACATGTGTAGCCCTTTTACTTTTAGTTTAAGAGGAACTGAAGACTGGAAGCTGTGCTAAAAAAATAAAAAAAGGCAAGCAGGCCCTAGAGCAGGGGTTGCTAAACTACGGCCCTCCAGCTGTGGTGAAAATACAAATCCCATGATGCATCTCTCTCCGGAGAGTCATGTCTGTGGCTGTGAGAATCTTGCAATGCCTCCTGGGATTTGTAGTTCCACCACAGCTGGAGGGTGTGAGTTTGGCTACCCCTGCCCTAGGGCAAAAGACTGGTCAAAAGCATTGCCTGCGGTCACCCTGCAGCTAATTTTTTCCTCTTTACGGATATATCATGCTTTATGAGTGGTGTCTCTATGTGGAGGCAGCCATCTTTGTAGAGGCAGGGCTTTGCTTCGTCATGTGATAATCTCCAACAAGGACAGTGAGCAGCACAGTAGTGAGATTACCAAATTTTACTGGCTGTGGGCACATGAGTGCCAGGGCACTGAAATACCAGGAAATGCATTGCGGTTTTTCAGGAGTAATTCAAGATGGAAAAGGTACATTTTTAAGTGTGCAGCTTAAGCACGATTAATATTTTGAGGTGTTCCTTGTAACATGGCAAATCTTTTACTTTTTAAGTTCAGGCTGAGTTTAGGTGAAAGGTTGCAGGGCAGAAACTCACATTCATTAGTTATGTACTAATTTAGCAGTCAGGTTACAATATGGGCAATTTTAAGAATAGAAAACACTTTAGAAACACTCTGCCATATACACTTAGTGTAGAGAACATAGCATACAGCAATGTCTATTTGTCAGGCAGGCTCTACAATGAGGCATCTCATTGGGGGGTGGCAGAAGAGTAGCCACAGCGTCCTAGGTTGCGAAGAGCTAAACCCGTGACCCTCTATCCAGCTCCTGCCCAGATCATGGACATCACTGGTGTTTACACTCTGCTGTACAGTAAATACCCGGCTCACAGTCTTTTGCCCCCTTTAACTTATCCAAAGAGACAGCATTTATATTAATAATTTAGGTAAACTCATAATAACTCAGAGGAATTACATGTTTTTCATACATGTTAAAATTGGCACAACAATGTAAAAATGGTGCCAAGGTGCAGCATGTAAAAGTGTCAGATCTACTTTACTGCCAATTGTAATGTGCTGTTTAATATATTGGGAAATGCAGGCTTGAGAAAGCTTAAGTAGTGTTTTTCACTGAGACAGGAAGTCAGCTGTGAACCATCACATCCTACAGCAAGCCAGAAATTATCAGCAAGCCATTTATGAAGGACAACAACATTTTGCAGCTCATCACAACTAGGAGGTGCACCGAAATGAAAATTTCACAACCGAAACAGAAATTTAAAAAAAATGAAAAAAAGGCTGGCCAAAACCGATTTTTTCTTCTAACTTTCAAATTTTTAAAAATATTTTATTTCTTTAAATTTCTTTACATTTAATTTATTAAATATTTTTTACTTTATTTTTAGGGGCTTCGGGGAAATATTGGGGTTCTAAAACAGACTCCTGATATTTCCCTTTTAAAAAAAGAAAAAGATTGAGGACAGTCCTCAATCTCTTTTTCTGGATCCCCTGTTCTAAATTAACACTAATCCTATATCAAACGATATCCTCTATATAATTAATTCTCTATACCGAGTGTTCCTGTTCATTCAAGATTGTGGATATAGTAAACACACTATGTCCACAAGTTATGAACAGGAGGTGATGTAGATCACTTCACATCCATTCATAATTGAGGATATAGTAAACATACTCTGTCCTCAATTATTTACAAACACTTAGCGATCATTGATCACCGAGTGCTTATACTCGCTCTCCATCCTGCATTGGCTGTCACAGGAGGCTTAGTGAGCGGTGTGGGGAGGAGAGCTCAAACTAAGAGCTAACTCCTCCTCCGCACCGCCGGCCCCCTGTGACAGCTTTTAGAGCTGTCTGAGCCCCCACACCGCTCTCCTGATCTGTCACAGGAGGCTGAGCAGTGCAGGTAGGAGAGACGCCAGCCGCTCACAGCGCTCTCCTCCTCCCGCACCGCTCAGCCCCCTGTGACAGTTTCTCCCCTCCCCGCTGTGACAGAGCAGTGCCCAGCGGGGAGGAGAGAAACTAGGGATGCACCGCTATTTCAGCCAAAAAAATTGCACTTTGACATTTTGCCAAAAGTGCTATTTTCGGCCGATACATTTCGGTGGCCGAAGTGTTGGTGTATCCCTAATCAGAACACACGGTCAATGCACTAGTGAACATTGTGGTGCGCTGTCAGAAAAAAAAAATGCACAGGTTCGCTTTTTGTTCCAGTCTTGTGAATTGGCAGCTAGTTCAATATGAATAGGCTTGCTTTAAAAGCAACACATATGAACGCATGACAATGCACTGGAGATTTGGCTTCAATAGAGACTTTTCCCAAGGACTCTGTTCACTTCAGAAGAAAGCGTTTTAGGACTTTTTGCCCACTTTTATTCATCCAAACTTCAAAGTAACAGACCGTTCTTTTTAGCCATGCAGTTGTTGTTAAGGATAATAATGAACAAACTTCTTTCAGCCTCCTGGCTATTTTGTCACACAACTCTGACTATTGCGCCTTAAAGCGGATCTTCCCTCCTTCCCTTCCTACTTATAGGAAACCACCCCCCATTAAATAGTATTTTAAAACACACATCATTTGTATTACTTGCTTTTAGTTTAATCTGGTCATAACCTAATGCTTTGTTCCACCTACTATTGGAAACCCGCAACGGTATTTTACCATTAGGACTTCATCGGTGGCTGCCTTCTTCAGTGTTTTCTCTGCCAGCCCACTGACTACATCAGCACCAGATTTTTTACATGCACGCCACATGGCATGGTTTCTTACTGTTTATTTGTTGCCAATGTGAACGTTGTTGTGCTACCCATCTACCACACTGCTGAAGCCACGGCAAAGTATAAATAGTACAATGAGCAGGGGGAAGGACCTGCAAAACTACAAGCTTCGAAACCTTTTGTAACTTTTTATGTAACACAGACAAACAACATTGCAAGCCTAACTGAACAACAATTCGTCTGGTACTTATCAACCATTTTCAAAAATAAGCTTTAACAGTGTACGTAGGTGTTTAGCCGGAGTGGCCTATTAAGTTAACAGCTCTGAGTGAGAAAACATAGGTTCTATATCAATATAGGTTGAGATTAGCAGTAATTCTAGTATACAATACACTGCATGGCATGTGATATTATAACCCTTTTCAGTTAAACAAAGAAACTGTTCTCTGTTTTAAGTTCTCCTAGAAAAAATTGACAAAAATTATTTCAGCAAGACATTTTAAGGTCAGAAGGGTGAAAGTTTTAATTTTTTATCTTCTAGATTATTATAATTATCGAAGAACTGCAAAAAAAAAAAAAAAGAAGGAGAAAGTGAGAGGGAAAGAGAAACAGACTTGAAATGAGGCACATAAGTAGGTTTCTTGAATTGTATTCATTGCCACAGGGGACATGCCACTTATAGCAAACCTATGTCACAAGGAGGGAATAAATGAATAGCTTGAGTACATTCAAGCAGAGCTGCTAAATTTGCACAGCAGATGTCTCTAAAGAACATTGCTGTGCCTGAATATGATTGCAGCCTAGATGTCTCTAGCTCTAACAAAATAATTGCTCCAAAGCCGTGTGCTGTTTTGGGTTTACTTCTAAACGCAATATGGTGTGAATGTAGTTAAAGCTTGCTTATAAATAAGATGTTTTGGATATGTGCCCCATCATACCTCGACATGACCGCTGAAGGCTGCATGGTGTAATGCTGTTCTCCCTGCTCGGTCGGATACATTAACATTGCTAAGAAGAGGCACCAGTGCTTCCGCACACTTCACAGCTTTGTTTGCTGCAGCTATGTGCAAGGGGGTCTGCCAGTTTTTGTCACGGGCGTTGACATCAGCTGAATGCTTTAACAACACCTGAACAGCATCCTGTGAACATAAATAGAAACTGTCAAATATGCAGAATCATAAAAGATTAATGGTACAAAATTCCCAAACAGAGGCTTCGTTAAGAGTTTGAGTTACTAAAAGGAGATGTTTAGCAGATGTTAAAATCCCAGGGCATTATAATCCTTTTCCCCCACAGGTAAACCTTACTTACAACTCCATGTTTAAAAAAAGAATAATCTGTCAACATAAAAGTTATGGGGCAGCCATTACGGACTTTTTTTTGAAGGCGCAGGCTCCAGTTCCATCTAATCCTTCCTTCACAGCTTGGCAAGTCACTAAGCTGCAGCAAGCAAGTACATCAGGTAGCAAGACACCTCATATGCACTTTGAGCTTTTTTTTAATGTGCATACAACAAGCAAAGATGAAGTCCACAATAAAATTATATTTTAATTTCTGATACCTGCTGGAGAGTGAACATACAATATCATACAACTCACTATTTTTGTAAGATATTTACACTCCTGTACCTGGGTCAGAAGTGCATTTCTAGGAAGGTCCCACCCTCCCTGTTGGATTTGTAAGTTATGGGGAATGCTAAAGGAGGAACTGGAACATGACCAGGTGGCTCAAAGGCTGACCACGCACACCAGAACCCACCTATAACCAAATATCCCTTTTGTAGTAAAATGCCCCTAGTAGTTATTATATTATATTACAGCATATCTCTAATATATACTAATAACCTACAAAGATGGCTAAGCTTGATGTTGGATGTGGACTGTGACCTTACTACTTCACTTAAAAATACACTAGAAAATTCTTGTGTTTTTTTATAAGCAAAATCTAGCTTCATTTGTATGCATCACATGTTCTTAAAACAAAATGACTGATGACAGCAAGTTTCACTGAAGCATAAACAGTGCACATGGATTAAATAAGTGCTTATGCTTCTCATATCTGAACTACTAAATCCAAATTGGGAATATATGCGAGAGATGGTACTGATGGGATGAGAGGTTTTTATACATACCTCACTGCGGGATGCCACAGCTCTGTGTAGAGGAGTCAACCACTTGCTGTCTTTGGCATTTACTCTAGCTCCTGTATTAAAAACAAAGAAGAAATAATGTTTAAATAGACACTGCAGTTAAAGAACACAGGAAACATGATTTTCCACTATTTTGCTTTACAGAATGTGAATACAAATGTTGACTCTTACAATACATATACAGTGGCTTGCAAAAGCATTCCACCCCCTTGGCATTTTTCCTATTTTTACCACCTAGAATTAAAATGGATTTTTAGTTGGATTACATGTAATGGACATACACAAAATAGCCCAAAATGGTGAAGTGAAATCAAGAAAATAACTTGTTTTAAAAAATGGAAAAGTAGTGCATGCATATGTATTTACCCCTTTGGTATGAAGCCCCTACATAAGATCTGGTTACCATGAAGACCAAAGAGCTCTCCAATCAGGAAAGGGACAAAGTTGTGGAGTACAGATCAGGGTTGGGTTATAAAAAAAATATCCAAAACGCTCAACATCCCAGAGAGCACCAATAAATCCATCATTATAAAATGGAAAGAACATGGCACCACAACAAACCTGCCAAGAGATGGTCACCCACCAAAAGTCATGGACCAGGCAAGGAGGGCATTAAATCAGAAAGGCAACAAACAGACCAACGATAACTCTCAGGGAGCTGCAAAGATTGAAGCATCTGTCTATACGACCACTTTAAGCTGTACAGTCCACAGAGCTGTCCTTTATGGAAGAGTGGCCAGAAAGAAGCCATTGCTTACAGAAAAAAATAAGCAAACACATGCCGAAAACGCATGTGGAAGACTCCTCAAAATAGATGGAAGGTGATACCCGCAAGACCGCAAACTCAAGACCTCTCCTCAACCTGAGCACACCATCCCCACAGTGAAGCATAGTGGTGGCAGCATCATGCTTTAGGGATGTTTTTCATTTGACTGGAAAACTGGTCAGAATTGAAGGAATGATGGATGGCGATAAAAAAACTGAGAAATTTTTGAGGGAAACTTGTTTGCCAGAGATTTGAGACTGGGATGGAGGTTCACCTTCCAGCATGGCAATTACCCCAAGTATACTGCTAAAGCAACACTCGAGTGGTTTAAGGGGAAACATGTAAATGTCTTGGAATGGTCTAGTCAAAGCCCAGACCTCAATCTAATTGATAATCTGTAGTACGACTTGAAGATTTCTGTACACCAGCGAAACCCATCAAACTTGAAGGAGCTGGAGCAGTTGAAAAATGAGCAAAAAACAGAGTGGCTAGATGTGCTGTGCTAAACTTATAGAGACTTACCCCAAGAGACATGCAGCTGTAATTGACTTTGGGGGGTGAATAGGTAATCAAGCAATCTGTTTTTTTGTCTTATTTCTTTTTGTTATCACAATTGAAAATATTTTGCATCTTCAAAGTGGCAGGCAAATAAAATGTGCAAATCAAATTATACAAATCCCCAAAAAACCATTTCAATTGCAGGTGGTAATGTACCAAAATAGGAAAAATTCCAGGGGGGGGATACTTTTGCAAGCCATTGTATCAACAGATTTCATTCCTAATAATCCTATGAGGATCATGAGTTACAAAGTAAGAAATGTAGGTGCTCAAGCATCACCCACAAGAGAAGTTAAAGTATAATTGTACAGGAGGGGCATGTGAGGAAAACGGATTACAGACATACACACACGCTTTGTAAGCACGGCACCCTGTAACTCCTCCCAAGAAACAGCAAAACGCAAACTGACCATGCTAGAATGCATTTGCATGCATGCTTGGCGTGGTCAGATTGCAAAAGCATAGAAGAGGGACTGGCAGGATCACCGTGTATTACAGCAGTCTACTACAGTAGGCTACGCTTCAAACACCTACACAGAAAGACGTACAGTATATGGATTATTAAATGTAGGAGTAGCATTCTTCAACATGCCATCATTAACATCCGGGGAGCTCACTTGGGTGTAAATCTTAATCAAGTTACTTCACTCTCCCTCCTTTGTGGCTCAACCCAAAATATAGGTAACAAAAGTGAATGTATACATACACACAAAGACACACATGTGACTAATCAAACCGCAATGTCTCATGTTTCTGAGTTGTGGCATTCTAGAAGATCATCTGCATAAAAAGTTCCTTAAAATAAGGCACAATGAGATGACTCACTGTTCGTAGCAGCAGCCATAAGAACAAGTAACCACAGCAACAAACATGAATCTGTACAGTGACATTAAACAGACCAATGCAGATTTAAAAAAAAGAGAATTAAAATAACAAATTAAAAAAAAAAAACAGAAGTCTGTGACAATCTTCTGTCGGGTTACTCAGCATTTACTAGCCTGGATATCCAGCATTTCCTTCCTCCATGAAAGGGTTGTTCTAGCTTTTCTAATTGTCATCGGGGAATGTTCTGGTTTTACCAGAAGCGCTTCAGGTGGCAGTGGTACTCAACCCTTCTTGGTAATCTCAAATTATCAAATAAAAGGCTGCAATTATACTATCGCCATCCTTGTTCTGAGACCACAACAAAGTCGATAGTAATAATATAATTAAAATACACATCTGACAGTAAGAAGCAGAGACTTGTTTAAGCGCCACCGATGCAAAATGCAAGCATCACTTCCATCACTTGGTCTAATAGTCAGCTCAAACATATCCCATTTGGAAGTATGATTATTCTTTTTAAGCTAAAGCTTAAGAACATCAAGCACATTTCTACACACGTTTGTCTAAACTTCGTGCATTGACAGGTGACATCATCTGTGTTTTATTCATTTTATGGGCTAGGGGTTCTTTCATCATACGTTAACAGTGCATGGAAAAGCATGCATTACACGATAGTTCACAAATATGAGCTAATGCACCCAGTGTGCTTTCATCAGCCATGGCTGGGTGGTGGTGGTCTAGGAAAAAAGGTGGGTCAGAGATGCAGTGAACAAGACAGACAAAAATGGTTCTCTATGGAGTAGAAATCTGTACAGGGCTATTTACAAAAGGGTGAAGAGTTTGTGGAAGGCAGGAGAAGTGAACAATCTAGGCCAAAATAGGTGATTTGGAAAAATTCTCCAATTCAGCTCACTTTGCAGTTCAGCTATGTTGTCCTAGATTGTTCACTTCTCCTGCCTTCTCCAAAAACTCTTCTCCCTTTAGTGAATATCCCTGGCAGTTCACACAGCTACTGAAAGGACAAAGTACCAAGCTTTAAACCCCAACTTCCTAGACTTCATGGGATGCTAACCCTTACAGTGCAGGCTGACCTTCTGCAAGGGTTTTTTTTTCTGCCTTGTGCCCGAGATTGGGCTTTAAGTGTGGATTACCTGAAACATGTTAGGGTGCTTATCTTGGGCTGAAGCTGCCAATGTCTGACTACTTGATGCTGCTTATTTCAGCTATGGCCTGAAAACAGCAATACTTCTCGAAGGGGCCCCCCACAGCTAGATGGGAACCTTGTAGTGAGAGAAGTAATTGTGACAAGTACCATTTTAGCAAGCAGCACAGAAAAGAGGAAATGGCTGCGGTTTGCCTGTGCTTCCTCTTATTATAAAGCTTAAGTGAGTTATCTATGAGGGGTGTTCCTTACAGACAAGCATCTCTCTTTAGAAAGCATGCTACAAGGGTGGAGTGGCTGACTCCCATTCAGCTGTCATTCACATCTCTTGCAGACACAAGAGGCAGTAAAGGCAGAGAACTGATCATGTATTCTTCAGCTCTCCATTTGATTACTCTCCAAACTATTTTATATGGAGACAAAGTAAAAAAAGTAAACCATGACAGTAAAAATGATTCTTATAACCAAAATAGGGGAAAAATAAATTTCCTGTATAAATATTAAAGTAATTGCACGTCAGCTGTATTTCTGGAGACAAAAACTGGATTTCAAATGATCATAACATGGCAAAACTACTTACCGACATCTGTAAAATTCTGGGCAGCCAGGTAACGTTACCATTTTTTTAACGAAAGACACTAAAGCCTCGTTAACACCAGATGCAGTGCGTTCTGGCCCGAAATGTACTGCCTCGCATAGCGACTGGCTCACTTTTTGTGGGGCAGGAGGGGCCGTGCTGGTCCATTGAAGTGAATGGCACCGTAGCCTCACCCTCCGGCCGCAATGTGATCGGCCGCACGGAATCGCAAGGCACATTATGCCTGCAGTGCATTCCGGTGTGAACAAAATGCTGCATGCACTATTTTGTTCGCACCAGACCGCAGGCATAATGTGCCTTACGATCCCGTGCAGCCGGAGGGCGTGGCTACGGTGCAATGCACTTCAATGAACTGCCACGCCCCCTCCTGCCCCACAAAAAACTGAGCCGTTCGCAAAGCGAGGCAGTACATTTCTGGCCAGAATCGGGCTGGAACGCACTGCATCTGGTGTGTACAATGAGCACCGATCGATCTTATGGGTTTTGCTTTACACCGACATGAGGCCTGGCTCTCCTACAGAGCAGCTGCACTGCTCACCCCTCTGTCCATTCAAAGAACAATTTGGATTTTGTAAAGGAGTTCAGAGAATGCAAAGCGTTCTGTGACTGGGCAAGAGGATAGGAGGGGCACGTAAACGACGCATGCCTGCTGTGTAGAAGACCTGAAGGTCTAGGGTGTCGGAGCGCCAATATAAGATATTTGTTACCAATGCACAATAAAACTAAAATTGTAGATTAAAAAAAAAAAAAAAAGTTCGAGAAGATGGCATACACCTTGTTGCACATAACTATTTGTACACCAGAAGATTTAAAATACTGCATTATTTAGGTCAAACTGCAGTATGCGCTTTTTTTATCGCTGTTGACGTGACTCTACTTTATCAGTGCCTCACAGCTGGCATGTTGCAGATCCATGCCTTAAAATGCAAGAAACCCCACCAGTGTGATCAGGCCCTAGGAGATTCATTAACATAACATGGATTTAAGGTAGCCCTCCAGGTTTGACAAAAATAAATACATTAAGAGAACATACCAGATAAAATGAGAAGCTCTATAATTTCTGCATCTCCCAAGTAGGCAGCTGCATGTAGTGGTGTTCTTTTCTCATTATCCTGCAAGAACAAGTAAAGTGCTATTAAAATTCAAAGTTTTTCTGCAAATTAAGAGAAAAAATAAAATAAAATAAAAAAAACCACACAATTTGCATGCCATACATAACACAGCTAAAATCCACAAATTAAACTTTAAAAAAACTTTAAAAAAAACGCTTTATAAAGTGAGGCAATTTCCTTACCAACTAGACATGACCATAGGCTATAGAAAAACCCAGTTCCCAGGCTGACATCTGCTATGCGGATCGAACGAATGGACTTATCTTTCTTGACTTCAAGTGTACTTATGAAAACTGCAAATTGGTATCCATACGGATGAAACAGCAAGATTCTCCGAAGCAAGTTCGCTCCAATTTTACACCATTTTATCAGGAATGCAACTCAGCAACTCTTCATTCTTTTGAGAGGTTCCCACAGATGTGAAGAGAATTATAGCACATAGCAGAAATGGCCATTCCACACCCATGTGTTTACAATGATTCCTATTACTTTATATATTTTTATATAAGATTATACAAGATTTTAAACACGTTTTCAAGTGACACTAAACTCTGTAGCAGCTATAGATTCTCGATTGTCTCAGAATTCATGCTGACACTGTCCTTTCTTTCTGTAGGCTTTCTGGTTGCTACTTTTGTTCCCCATGTGTTGTAAAGTAGCCACTGCACCAAGCTCACTCCCGTGATGGACTAGAATATAATGTTTAGTTTACAAATTTGTATTGAGATTGTAGTCCATCACGGGAGCGAGCTCAGAGCAGTGGCTACTTTACAACACAGAGTAGCAACCCTACAGAAGGAAGGACAGTGTCAGCATGAATTCAGAGATGATTTGAGGATCTACAGCTGAGTGATATACGAATAAGACACATTTTTGTTAATCGTGAAGGTACTTGAATGTATTTTTATGATTTAACTCCTGAGTTTAGCGTTACTTTTACTAAAATTACATTTAAGCACCTCAGCTATAAACAAAAATGTATCTTATTTGTGTATCACTCGGGTGTAGAGCTTCAAATCATCTCTGAAGCCCCACTGACACGGTCCTTCCTTCTGAAGGGTGGCTACTTTTGTTCACCATGGTCTGTGTGTTGTAAAAGTAGTCACCACTCCAAGTTTGCTGTTTTCTTGATATATCACAGGACACAGGGAGTTAATTCTTAGAACAATGGGAAGTTCAACAGCAGTATAAGAGAAGGGAACACAGTGGTTAACAGGCCCAAGAAAAACAACAACCCCGCCAGCGAACAGATAATTACAACAGAGGGGGTACCGAAAGATTACAGGTCGGCCTGAAGGACCTTCTGGCCAAAAGTGGCATGTGCAGAGGCCTGAAGGTCTACCTGGAAGAAATTAACAAAAAGTGTGCACAAAAGGACCAGGTGGCAGTGTCACAGATTTTGGAAATCGAAGAACATGTCTGGTGAAGTATGCCATGTCTCAAAAAAGAAGAACTTTGCCTTTCCACATATGAAGACTGTCAGAAATAACAAAGACAGGCAGACTTGCGAATAGCAGCAGTTGCATAGAGGCAAACATTTTTTAGGACAGTTAGGATCAGGACACAAGGATGGTAACACAAAGTTAAGGTGGAAGGCAGATACCATCTTGGGGAGAAAAGAGGCCTTAGGAGGGACTAGAAAGGATTCCTTGTTTGGAAAGAGAACAAGACTGAGGTTACATGAAATAACCAGAGAATGAACAGAGGCAACAATGTGTTACCCCCTGGACATAGGCATTCGCTAACAAGTGAGAGGCAAGCATCCTCTGGCAGAGGATAACTAAAGCCGATATCTAGCCATTGAATTTACTCAAGATTGTACACTGGTCCAGGCCAGACTGAAAGGAAGGATAAATGTGTCCCACCCAATACTTCATGGAAAGGAATAGCATCACACCATGTGAAGTACGCTTTCCAGTTGCGACAGTAGACCTTGTGAGAAGTTGTTTTCCTAGCCTTAAGGAGCATAACGATGACAGAGTCTGAAAGGTCCCCGTCTCTCAAGACTTTAACAGCCATCCCATTAAAACCAGCAACTAAGAATCAGCGTGGAATTATTATAACAGAAGCTTTAGATGGTTCGGAAATTCCCACAGAGTGTAAACCAAGAGTTGGACAATGTCCATGTATCGGTGTCTTCTAGGCGAAATGAGAAACACTGGGATGCCCAGGGAGTCTTGCAGGAAAAAAAACCAATGAAAACTAGGTGTGAAAAACAGCTTTAAAATGATTTGCCAATGTTCAATCACCTGAATGTGGCTGCATAACCAAGTGGTCCAGTGATGAATGATAAAAAAAAAAAAAAGGATTTGTAGGGTTTAACCCTCTCGCTGCCAAGGACGTACGTCGTACGGAGCTACAAAAGTGCTTCCAGCTGGCCAGCTCAGTACGTCGTACGGACCTGGCATTTACAGTTCTACTATAAGCTGATAGCGACCATCAGCTTATAGTAGAACTGTTCAGCAGACTGTTCTCTGCTGCATGTATAAAAAAAATCTCCACCAGCTTCCACGTGTAAAAGAAAAAGTTAAATATTAACTGGTCTGGCAGGCAGTAAGCAAATTCATCCCTCTTGCAGAGCTCTAGGAACCGCTGCTATCCAACATGTCCGGGTGTGGGTGGACATTGTAAACCCCGCCTGGCAGTGTGGTTGTTTCCACAGTACAGGCCTCTAAGCCATTACTACGACCTGTAATAGTTTAAAAGGAGAACTAGGAGGTGAGTGCTTTTCACTCACCTCATAGTTCTAGCCGACCTGTGACAATGAGACTGTCACAGGTCGGCTCAGTAGATCGGGAGGTGAGCGAACACATACCGGCGTTCGCTCACTTCTCGATCCTGTCACGGCTCTCTGCCGTGACAGGGGAGGGGCTGGATTCCCCCCCTCCCTGCTCCAGCACTGACTGGCGGAACGGGCGGGGGAGGGGTACAGCAGGATCTGCCTCTAGATAGGCAGAGCCAGGTGTCACTCACGCAGCTGGGCGGATCCAGACATAATTGTCGGGATCCGCTTCAGCTGCGGCGTCTCAGTATACCGTGAGCTGCAGCTCGCGGTATACTGAGCTTAGGGTGATGGGAGGACACTAGTTTGTGTCCTCCCGTTATCCGGAGAACTAGGGGGAAAAGCCCTAACCCCATAGTTCTCCTTTAAGAGACCAGCAGGAAAAACCACAACACCCAACAGAAGACACACAAGCCAACACACTCAGAAGCCTTGGAAAGCAGCAGTGCAGGAAACCAAAATATAACCAAATAATAATGTATACTTTTACAGGGGGCAGCTGGTGGACTTTTTTTTCCTCCCAAAGTTGGTTAGGCTTTAAAGCTGAATTCTAACCAGGAGGGATAGAATGCCACTGTAAAAGGTGCTTCCCTAACTAGTGCAAAAACAATGCCCTTTTTTTCAGCAAGTTCTTCCATTTCAACTATTCCTATGCCTCCCGTTTTATGGTTGATCCAATTTGGGAGATCGGATACCACCGTTTCTCACTATGGAGAAACGGCTCCCAGTCGAATAACTTTCTCCATGTATTTTATTGAAGGAAGCAGTGCTGTGCTGTCATCACACTTCCTTCTGTGGGTGGGTGTGATCTATATCTGACCTCTCACAAATCATATGTATAAATATTAAAAGAATCTGATGAACATAAAAGCAGGATAGCAGCTACAAATTGTTCTATTTTCTCTGTACAGATTGGTGCCATAAGGAAATGAGCTACATTATGTTTCCAGTATTCATCTGTGCTTTTCATTATTACGTGTACTGTTAGCCAGGTATGATTGCCCTATAATGGGCTAAAAAAAAAAAAAAAAAACAAAAAAACTAGCCCAGGAAGTAACCTTTTCAAAAACACTAGCCCAGGCATGAAGCTTTCCCCAGTGTAAAGGGAAGAAACTCATCTAACAAGTGTATTACATGGGATTTTGTAAACTCAGTGAATTTATTATTTTGCCTAGTGGCAAAATGGGTTCTGTGTAAGGCTGCTTGGTTATCGCTTCAACATTCATTTTATAGAGCTAGTACAAAACATACAGCACCCAAACATGAACAAGCAATGAAATCTCCTTATACCATCAAGATCTACAAAGATGAGTAACCATGAGCTTTCTTGTCATGGGTAAAGTGGCGTGTTGGCCAAACCTCTCCAGTCAAATGAAGAACCGTACTATTAAAAAAATAATAACGTTTAAGCTTATAGAAAACCATAGGAAGCATAATGAACACCAAAAGATAACAGCAGATAAACTAAGCTGCACAACAGCATACACGTACTGCAGTTATTGGAAAACTAAAACATCTGTACCTTGTAGGAACCACATCCATATATTTAGGATGTTCTAGAAGAACCTTAAGCCATAACGCTAGACAAGTAAACTTATCAAGTGGATAAAGGGAGTTTGCAATCAATTCTGAACATGCAGCATTGGTGCTGTGTGGCTAAATGCTTAGTTTGCAAACTGAATAGATGAGACGACTATCAATAATGGAAGAAGATGTCAAACAGCCACTCACTATTTAGGAAAGAACAGTAGTATGCAGAAAAAGCAGCTCAGGCATGCTGCACAGCATATTTCCCACTTTATAAACCCATCAGCTGTATTAGAGAAATACCACAGCTAGCATAAGGCAAGGGTCAGTGTACAATGCTTGCCAGAAAATATACAAATGTATCTAGAGAGGAAAAGACCCACCTAAAATAAACACCATGGCCAGAAAGGCAGACTCACGTCCCATAGAAAGGACATGCACAAGACACAGCTATCACAGAAATCTTCCTCTAGCTTTGTACACTCTTAGAATGGAACATATATTGTATATCGCAGAAGGAATTCCTGGATGAATAAAAATAGAATTATTCAAAAGAACAGGAGTTCCAGAATATCCACCAAAGTCTTCAAGGTGGGATCCTTTAGTGCATATGGACATAACTTTACAATATTAAGTGATACTAAATAGAATAAATAAACTCTAGAATAGTAAATGATTGGAAATGGATAGT